CCCCCGCCTGTCCTTCCCTCGCTCCTGGGCCTCCATCTCCCCCCGCCTGTCCTTCCCTCCCTCCTGGGCCCCCATCTCCCCCAGCCTGTCCTTCCCTCCCTCCTGGGGCCTCCATCTCCCCCCGCCTGTCCTTCCCTGGCTCCTGGGGCCCCATCTCCCCCAGCCTGTCCTTCCCTCCCTCCTGGGGCCCCCATCTCTCCCCCAGCCTGTCCTTCCCTCCCTCCTGGGGCCCCATCTCCCCCAGCCTGTCCTTCCCTCACTCCTGGGGCCCCCATCTCCCCCAGCCTGTCCTTCCCTCCCTCCTGGGGCCCCATCTCTCCCAGCCTGTCCTTCCCTGGCTCCTGGGACCCCATCTCCCCCCGCCTGTCCTTCCCTCGCTCCTGGGCCCCCATCTCCCCCAGCCTGTCCTTCCCTCCCTCCTGGGGCCCCCATCTCCCCCCGCCTGTCCTCCTGCCCCTGTGAGAGCCCTCAGCCCCCACGCATGGCGTGGGCCTCCCACAGGATTAGGAAGCTTGGGAAGCTCCAGTCAGGACGACTCAGTCTTGCACAAGCAAAGCCACTGCAGAATCTCTTTACAACTAATTAGCTCTTTTTAATTAATACCTTTCCAGAGGATTTTATACTCTAGGATAAATTCCAAATGGATTAATGAAATGTGAAATATTAAATCATATAGAAGAACTGACTAATCTCCATGCCCCAGATGGAGATAATTGACTAGTGCAGCACAGAGAAGATTCTCTCTAAACAGTGGCTCTGTAAGAATAAAAAAACAGCATTTGATTCTCTAACAACTATAATAAATGCTATTATCTTTAATACGTAATAAACAGATTCAAGCTGTGGACATAGTCTAAGTTGTCCAAGGCAGCTAAGAGAATCCATTAAATCAGAAAATTTTGAGCAGACTAAATCTTAAAGAAATCTGAAATACCTTCTCCAATGGAATTAACAGAATTGTTGAATATATGTGTAAATTATGTGTATTGATACACAAATGCACAGAATCTTCAGTCATGGCTATGTGAAAGAGAAGAACTCTGAGCTGAGGACAGAACTGGAACACCTACTAGCTTATTCTTAGGTATTCCGGATTTGAAGCCTGGTGAGGGCATTAGGGGAATGTCACATGGAGGTCCTGAGGTGCCAACCAGTGAAGACCCTGCTGCATGAGCATACAATGAGTCAGCTTGGTGAAAATCTCATCCAATGGCCGGAGCTGCGTTTGCCATTGGCATCTCTGTGCTCACTGTGATTTACTTGGCTACCTTTTATCAACAAAAATAGTGAGATGCTACTTAAGAGCTAAGCAAGTTAAGATTTGGTTCAAAGATTCTGAAACTGCTTGTCATTGCCTCCATCTTCCTACCTGGGCCTCCCAGGGCCTCGCTCTCCTTATTTTCTGCTTCGATCTCTTTCAGCACTTCCGAAAGGGCTTCCCACTTGGGATTGCTTTCAAGCACCAGTTCCTTCTTTGTTTCTGTATAGAAATAACAGTACTTCATTTCACGTGACGACAGCTGCCCACACACTCTTCCCAATGTTTTAGTACAGCAGGAAACACCATCACTCCATACAGCCACTTTTTTTTGAGCTTTCTTCTTTATAATGCTACATAGACTCTGCCTTCTTGAACAGGCCTCTGTATGTTGTACCTAACCAACATGACCAGAGGCTGTGGTGCCCTAACACAGAAGAGATGGCTTTGTGTCAGGGTCCCTGTGATGCCACATCGAAGCAGCTATGCAAATTAAGCAACCAGCACTGGGTAATGGTGCTTTAAATGATTTCACAACCCTGAATATGGATAAAAGCTGACAACAACCAAGATGATTTCTGTAAATGCTCCAATGCACCATTAAGTTTTTTTTAGTGCTGGTACTAGGGTTTGATCAGGGCATGGGCACTGTCCTTGCTTTTTTTGCTCAAGGCTGGTGCTCTAACTATTGAGCCACAGATCCACTTCTGACTTTTTGGTAATTAGAGATAAGAGTCTTATATCCTTTCCTGCCCTGGCTGGCTTTGTACTATGATCCTCAACCTCAGCACCCTGAGTAGCTAAGATTATAGACATGAGCCACCAGTGCCCAACTTACATTAAGTTTTAAGATAGACCTTTGATTAAACTAAGCAGAAGGCAAGGACTGAGCCACCCCTTACCTGGAGATATTTGATAGCTGCTAGACAGACGTTGGGCTAAAATCCACAGTTGCCCCATTCTAGTCTCAGCCCTACAAATTCAAAGGGATGATGATGTTCTACTAAGACTTAAGTGCCCCAAATATTAATGATCTGGGAGCTATGTCAAAGCATTAGTAGGCAGAGATAAGAACATTCATGACTGATAGCATGCATTACATGAACCCATGGTAGAAGGTGGTTTAAGTTATAATTTGATAAGTGCTTCCATGAAGAATAGGTGAAGACACATTAAGAGACTTGAGCATATAGGATACCTTGACCTTCTTTATTCTCCATTTTCTCAGACTTTTTGCCTTTTTTGCTCATTTTGGAGTCTGGAATATTATAAACCCTGGCTCGGGCATTTACAAACATTGAAGTACTGGAGTCAAGAAACAGCCAACCTAATATGAGTAGCAGAAAAAACAAGGCTTCAGTTAATATTTAATTATTAAACACTTTGGCAGACACGTGACTTCTGCACCCAACAGCCTACCGCCATCTTGCTTTCCTACCACCCTGCCTTACTTCCTCTTACAGTTTGTGGACTCTGTCACTGGCAGTCTACTGGTTTTCAAAGTGTGGCCTATGGGCTTCTGGGGGGCCCCCAAGATTATTTTTTTGGGGGGATGCGATGTCGTAGTTTTATCTCTCAATAATACTGTTTTTCCACTATGCTGACACTTCCATCAATGGCCCAGTGGTGGGAAACACCATTGGTGCCTTTGCATGAATTATGGCAGGAGCAGACAAGGGAACTAGCTGTTGATGAATTGTTTACTGTCATGTATTTGTAGCTGGAAAAGCAGGAAAAATGATTGGTTGTATTAAAATCTTGACCTTAGAGGCCAAGGATCCTGTGAAAGAGTCAGGGAGGGATATCCAGTTTGTTGGAAATAAGATGGCAGCCAGTTGAATATGTATATTTTCTTAAGTTTTCTTTTTTTTTTTTTGTCGGTCATGGGGCCTGAACTCTGGGCCTGGGTGCTGTCCCTGAGTTCTTCAGTTCAAGGCTAGCACTCTACCATTTGAGCCACAGCGTCACTTCCACAGCTTTTTCTGCTTATGTGGTGCTGAGGAATTGAACTCAGGGCCTCATGCATGCGAGGCAAGCACTCTACCACTGAGCCACCTTCCCAGCCCCATTTTCTTCAGTTTTCAACCCTTGCTGTTTCTTTGGGGGGGAAAAATGAACCTTAAAGTTCTAACAGTGAAACTTCCAGAGCACAGCCTATGTCTACATTGGAGACGGTTTATTTGCAGTCTTTTTTCAACATTGCCTGGAAGGGATATGAATATTTGTTATTATATGGAACAGAAGTTAAGTAGGTGGCAACATTAGCTATCACGAAAACCTACTGGTTGTGCAAGGAAGCTGAGCTGTAATCGGGATCTTGGTTTGTAACTCAGCTGAAGACGACCCTCCCCACACCTGCCTGCTCCCCACCTAACCCTAATCCTGTCAGCTCCTATATACTTAGGAATTTTTCTCTCTTACCTGAATTCTGACCAAAAGCCTTTTCCGTGGCTCTCAGAGATTCCAGAAGGTTAAGAAAGGTGACGCAGTCGTACTGGCAGAGGTACAGCAGCAAGGTCCGGAGTATCTTCAGGTCCTGGACCAAGGACTTTGTCTTGGCTCCAAGCTGGTGCCACAAAGGGTCCAGGTAATGGCGGATTGTCTACAATGAGAATAAAACTTATTACAGTAAAAAAAAAAAAATCCCCAAATATTTGTAGCCACAAGGAAGTGGCTACAAAATTGCAGTTCATCAAATTCCAGTGATGTCTAACTTTTCAAATGCACTCTCATTGCTATAATCTTCGCCGTTAAATGGAGCCAAGCTGCCTCTTTTCATATTGGCATCACTGAGAGGACAGCAGGCCTGATCCAAGCAGTGACTTGGTTTTACAAGCAGAAGCAGCACTGGCACACAGCATCTCATTTAACAGAGTCAGTGGTGAGCAGGAGTGACACTGGATGAGCACAGAACATATTGTCTAAAACAGGACAATTGTAAAAAATGAAATGAGACACTACTACTGTTCACGCCAGGGCAAGGAGAAGCTGGGGCTGTCTGAGACAAACTGGGACATATAACTGAGAAGATTTGTGGAAAGTTAATTAAAAAAAAATAAGATGCAAGCCATGGTTCCATTTAGATGTAATCACTGAAAGAAAATCTAAAATGATTCTTTGACTTTTACTGGCCCAAAGAATGACAAAGGAGATCTAGTGTAAAAAATTGTTAGCTACATTTTGTTTTCCTAGGGACATACATTCTATTAAAAGAATGTAAGCTTGGGCTGGGAAGTTGGCTCAGTGGTAGAGCGCTTGCCTTGCATGCCTGAGGCCCTGGGTTCGATTCCTCAGCACCATATAAGCAAAAAGAAAAAAAAAGCCGGAAGTGGCGCTGTGGCTCAAGTGGTAGAGTGCTAGCCTTGAGCTGAAGAGCTGAGGGACAGCACTCAGGCCCAGAGTTCAGGCCCCACAACCGGACCAAAAAATAAATAAATAAAAGAATGTAAGCTTATTTTTTTAATCCTCATGCATTAAACCAAAACATGCTTTAAACTGAAGGAACAGAAAATATGAAGTTAATTCTTTGGATCAGATAAATGAAAAGTTAACTTTTTCCTCTGTGTAATTGGCATGCATTTTCCCCAGTTATATAAATTGACTTAGAGTTTAAGACAGTAACATGTCCCATATATATAAAATATACATCATCTATATCATACACTACAGAATTATATTATATATTATACTTGCAACATGTTATACAGAGCAAATATTATATAACACACTACACGTTATACATATTATATAAAATATTACACATATCATATAAAATTAGAACCAAATTGGTTTGAACTGGTCTTAGCACTTTCTCAATGAAGAGTGTAATATAAGACAGAGCAAGTTTTCATTACTTAGTAATGAAACTTGTGCAACTTATTCTTATTGTGAATTCCTGTACAATGATGAAGCACTCTTATATACAACTCTTCTCCCTGTAGCCCCCCACATGCTGTCATTTCAGAGCAACAGTGTTACTTGTCCTCTATTGTTTCATGGGAGAGAGGCCCACTCACTGCAGTCTAACTGAGAAGCTGGACTCGTGCTTTCTTGCCAAGCCACGTCTGTCATCGTCAGTTATTACTTTCCAGTAAACCAAAGCAGCTATATACTTTCAGTCACCTTCAATGTAACTCTAAGACTGCAGCAAATGCCTGCTAAAAACACTGCAGATATTAAAATAACTTACCTTTTTCCTTTGCCATTACTGGGGCTTAAACTCAGGGCTTACGTACTGTCTCTTAGCTTTTTCACTCAAGATGGGCACTCTACCATTGAGTAATACCTCGACTTCTGGATTTTTGGTGGTTAATTGGTGATAAGAATCTCATGGGTGCCAGCTATAACTCACATCTTTACAACGTATCCAACTGTGCTTAAAAAAGGAAAATAAGGTACCTTGTCAAAAGGCTTCCCGATAGCATTTTCTAAAGACAAGTCTTCCACTTCCAGTGATGGGTTGTGGCATTTCAGCTCCTTCAGACAGGCGTTTAAAATGTCCAGGATGGCTGTCTGGATGGCCCGCATGGCAGGTGTCATGGCAACATGAATTTCCACCACTTCTGGTTTGTGCTGCTCTAAAAACGAGTTGACAGCCACGTGGAACCTAAAGAGACAAAGTTTTCCATGTCTTTGGAATCTTCTCAGCCCTGTGTTTTCAGTCCTGGTTTAAAACTCTCTTGACTGTTTGCAAATGCAGTTAAAAAACAATAAGAGCTAGGTGCTGGTGACTCACGTCTGTAATCCTAGCTACTCAGGAGGCTGAGATTTGAGGATCGCAGTTCAAAGCCAGCCGGGGAGTAAAGTCTGTGAGACTCTTATCTCCAATAAACCACTAGAAAACCAGAAGTAATGCTGTAGCTCAAGCTGTAGAGCACTTGCCTTGAGCTAAAGAGCTCAGGGACAGCGCCCAAGCCCAGAGTTCAAGCCCCACAACTGACCAAAAGAAAAAAAAGAAAAAAAGAAAAAAAGGTGTACAGAGCATCTGGACCTGTGTGAACCCAATGTCTGTCATTCATACAGGCAGGGCCACATCCAAGCCCCGAGTAGACCATCTAAGGGACACAGTCACCTCACTGTTTTCCTACTGTCTGCTGTCTTTGTCTTTTGCAAAGCAGAGTACTGGGTCAGACCCTGAGGCTAAAAGCCCAGTGTTCACTGTCTGACTCTAGAGAAGTTTGCTCCCCTCCAAAAAATGCTTCAACTATCACTCTTGGTCTAGGGTTTAGATTCCTGGGGCTTGTATTCTGGCTTGGCTTTCTTGTTCAACGCTGGCCTTCTACCATCTGAACTATGCCTCTTCTTCTGGCTCTTTGGTGGGTAATTGGAGATAGTGTCTTGGAAAGTGAGGGATGGGGTGACATGGTCCAAAAAGAAATGTACTATTACCTGACTTATGTACATCAACTTCATAATAACAACATTAAAAAAAAAAGTGTCTTGGTTTTGTCTGCCTGGGCTTGCTTTGTACCTTGATACTCAGATCTCAGCTCCTTGAGTAGTTTAGAGTTATAGGCATGAGCCACCAGAATCTGGCTACTCAACATAAAGTACACTTTTTATCAGGACATATACAGTTACAAAAATGTTAGAAAATTGAGGGGCTCAGTGGTAGAGCACTTGCCTTGCATGCCTGAGGCCCTGGGTTCGATTCCTCAGCACCACATAAGCAAAAAGAAAAACAGCCGGAAGTGGCACTATGGCTCAAGTGGTAGAGTGCTAGCCTTGAGCTGAAGAGCTGAGGGACAGCGCCCAGGCCCAGAGTTCAGGACCCACGACCGGATCCAAAAAAAAAAAAAAAAGAAAATTGAAACCTTGTATTTCTCTTAGAGATTCACCCAAATTCTTTTTTTTTTTTTTTTTGCTTATGTGGTGCTGGGGAATCGAACCCAGGGCCTCATGCATGCAAGGCAAGCACTCTACCACTGAGCCACCTTCCCAGCCCCTCACCCAAATTCTTTAAATTCCCTGAGTAATATTTAATAAGATAAGTGGAAGTCTTGGTTAGTAAATCTGCATTTCTCTTATGGCTGTTGTGTTGCTGGGCCTCAAGATCTCTGGGTTTCCCCAGAAGCACAAGAAATAGCGAGGCTTGGGGCTGGGAAGGTGGCTCAGTGGTAGAGTGCTTGCCTTGCATGCCTGAGGCCCTGGGTTCGATTGCTCAGCACCACACAAGCAAAAAGAAAAAAGCCAGAAGTGGTGCTGTGGCTCAAGTGGTAGAGCGCTAGCCTTGAGCTGAAGAGCTGAGGGACAGCGCCCAGGCCCAGAGTTCAGGCCCCACAACCGGACCCCCCCCCAAAAAAAAATAGCGAGGCTTTGCAGACTGGATGGGCCACTGGAAAATTAACTCCCAAATCTGTACTTTTAAAAGCGTCACAAACTGACACGTGCGCATGCATCTGCTGGGCATCGATCGGGTGCACTGATGGCAACAGTCAACCCTCATTCTGTTACACAGGCAGCTTAGAGCCTCTCACAAGACGGTGTCTCACATAGTGTGGCTTACCTCGGCCACAGATACAGCTTCCTCACAAAAAGGTTTCTCATCACTCTCTCCACGTGACAAAAGCCGGTGTCGAAGGCGATGGCATTGTCTGTGAACGCTTTGATGAAACCGCGCTTGTTTTTCTGGCGGAAGAGGCGCAGGATGAAGGCTTCCTGACATGACTCGATGATTCGGTGGGCTCGGTACACCAGGATGCCTGGGGGCGGGCAGGGTGGAAACTGCACACACAGGCATGGCATCTGCATACCATGCCTGGCCTCACTGCCGGCTGTCTGGAATGCCTGCAGGTGCCTCTCTAGTCTGAGGATGCAGCTGTAAACAAATCCTTGTGGAACTTCCGGCCAACAGTATTATGGGTAAAGTACTTAGTGTGTTCCAAGGGCCAAGAGAAAGAGGGGCCATGAAGGTCAGAAGGCTGGTTCTGAATCTTTTCTTTTGGGTGGGGGTTGGGGGGAGATTACTTGTCTTGGGGCTTAAACTCAGGGCCTGGGTATTGTCCATTAGCTTTTTTTGCTCAAGGCTGGCTCTCTATCCCGTGAGCTACAGCTCCATTTCTAACTTTTTGGTGATTAATTGAAGATAAAGAGTCTCATAGACTCTGGCTTCAAATCATGATCTTCAGATCTCAGCCTCCTAAAGTGAGGTGTGAGCCACTGGTGCCCAGCTCAAGGCTATGGTTCTTTTAGAACCTGGCAGAAGGAGAATCAAGTGGATTCTCCAGGTGCTGGGCTGGGTACTCTCATAGTCTGGGTACTTCATTTACTCCTGATTAATTCTACCGTAGCTAAATCATTATGAGAGCAAGTGACCCTGAGCAAGGTCACCACAAATGAGACCCAGATGTTCTCAATCATGATCTTTCTACACTATCTTTGTAAAAGCAAATACTACTAGCAGGTTGGGATTTGGAGGGGGGGCCGGGGAAGGCAATTTGGGTCCCGAAGAAACCTCTTTGTATCTGCATGCTCCCATGCTGTGACTACCTGTGTGTGTCCACCAGGCCATGGAAGGGCACGGTCACCAGCTGCCCCTGGACCTTGCTGCCAGGCGTCACCTCACCCACTCTCCGTTTATGGAGACAGCGAGGCACAGAGGAATTAAGAAATTGCAGAAGACAAGGGCAAGGCGCATGCAAACAAGCCCAGCGGAACTCAGCAGCTCACTCCTAACCCCATGCCCTTCCTGCTGAAGAAGAGCCCTTAGGAATGCAACACTTGGGGAATGGATATAGGGCCAAGTTCTAGCAACTGGGGATACAAATCGAATACCTAACTGTCTCTAAAAATGTGTGCAGGGTGTTCTGTTTTCTCTGGACATCAGGGTCAGCTTCTGCTGGCCTGGTCTGCGTAGTCTCCAAGCTCTCCCTGCTGAGGTATTCTGCAATGATACGAATGGTGACAGCGTACTAGTGGGAAGAGAGCTAGGGATGGGGGTCAGGTGTCCTGTGGTCAGTCCTGGTAGAGGAATGTGGCTGGATGATGAGGAAGTTCTCTCTCATCATGAAGGGGCAGTGGGGCCAGGCCCAGCTTCGTGGATGGCTAGGACCTAAGGAGAACTATGGCGGGACTAGCAATGAGGCACATGGCTCTCCACTCCATTAGGTTGTGCTTGGGCTGAAAGCCAGGCCAGCACTGACATCTAGTGGTCATTTAGAGACATGTTAAACCAAGTGTTAAAATCTAAACACTAAACCAAGCTCATGAGACAAACAGCCAACCATAGCAGACAATAACGGTGCATCCAGATGATCTGGTTATAAATGGTCATTTTTTGTTAGTATTTATTGTTTGCCATGTATCCATCACTATGATAAGTATTTTAGGTTATTTCATTTAATTCTTAAGAGGCATGGCTTTTCTGATTGAAGATTTAAGAATTAGCATTAGGCAGGCCCAGTGGCCCACACCTGTAATCCTACTTCTCAGTACACTGAGATCTAACTTAGAAGCCATCCTGGGCAGGAATGTCTATGAGACTCTGATCTCCAATCAACAACCAAAAAGACAGAGCAAAAAGCAGTAGAGCACTAGCCTTGAGAGAAAGAGATAAGGGGCAGCACCTAGTTCAAGCCCAGTACTAGTGCACATACACACAAATAACAATGTATGTAGCATTCAAAGTCAGGCAGATCTGGATACAAGGTCCATGCATGATAAATGCTGCAGAAGAATAACAGCTTTTCCTTAGACATTTTGCCATGAACCACTCAGAGTGTGTATTCGTACATGCATTCACTAATCATTTCTTAAGCGTCTTGTCAGCTCGCGGGGAGGGTGCTTACCCAGCCTGCAGTTTCCCTGTCATTCAGGTCACTGACCTCCAGCCAGTGGGCATCTGTTGGCCCCTAGGTACTGGCTACTCAGCTTGGGATGACCAAGCCCTTCTCTGTGCTAGGGAAGCTTATTAATGAGCAAGACAGATCAACTAACAGCAAGCAAGACACAGTCTTCTGAGCATGCTGACCAGGGTGGACACCTAAACTGGCTCTGGGGAAACCAGGAGAGATGTCCAGGCCACACCCTGGTGAAAATAAATTCCTTTTCTGTATTAACTGTTCTTACAATAAAAACCTTTCTCACAAAAGAATCAAGCAGCTACTGGGTTTGATGTCATATTATGGGAAGAATTTATTCACCTAGAGGACAACCAAACGTGTTTGAAAATATGTAAAGATGATTTTTAGCTCCTAGCTAAGTTCTAAAAGCAGATGCCAGAAACCACAAGCATTCACAGAGCTTAAACACAGGGAAGAAGGAAAGAGTGGATCTTACACACACGGTCAAGTGCCACACGAACATGTCAGCTGGCAACAGACCATGTACCTGATGTTGGTCCCATGCATTGTAACAGAGTTGGCAAATACTCATGACCTACTGGATGAGGTGTCATGCACATGCACGGGAGCATGCTGCTGTCACGGGAAAGCAAAACACCAACTGTGCACAGCACAGGACACTTGATGACCCTTATTAGCGCCTATGTCCTGCTTTATGTCTTTACTGTACCACGCATCCTTCTTCTATTTATTATTTTATTTTTTGTGCTGGTACCACGGCTTGAACCCAGGGCCTTATGCTCTTGCTTGGCTTTCCTCACTTAAAGCTGGAGCTCTACCACGTGAACTACACCTCTAGTCTAGCATTTTGCCAGTCAGTATTGGAGATGGGGGTCTCTAGAACTTTTTCTCCCCCCCCCCCCATGGCTTTGGATCATGATCTTCAGGTCTCAGTCTGGGATGAGGTGTGAGCGACCTGGCTACATTTCCCTACTTTACACTGTACTCCTTCCTCTTCTCACACAACACAGCAGTTAACTCAGTGAGGTCCCAGATATTTCCTGAGCATCTACGTATTGAGCCACCACCTAGATGCTCAACCTTGAACTCAAATATTCAATGGTACTCACTGGTTTTCTAGCTTAGTGTTTAGCCGAGGGAACAGAGAGACACAAAATAAAAGCACACACATTGATGAACAAAGAGGATTTCAGATTCTTACCCGTTATTAAATCTGAAGGTATTCTGTCGGTCAAGAAATCAACTACAAGTATTCGACTTGTGGCAAATATGACCCCTCCTCGTGTGTACACCTCGTAGCGACTGTTGCTCGTGATTTCGTTGGTTACGCGGCAAGGGAGATGTTCGGTTCCTTCTAATTTCAGCTGATTGATAAAATACTCCTAAAGCAAATCCAACTTGTGAGTGGGCTGCTGGACATGGGGCAGCTTATAACAAGCCATGGGCCTTTAAAAGGAACTTAGTAACCCATACACAAAGTTACTACTCTATAGTGCTCAACCAGTCAGTTTTGCACCTCCCTAGGGCTTTCATTTGATTTTGTTCTGGGGTTTATGGGGTTTATGCATTTCTACCATTATTAGCACTTTGGCAACAAGAATTATTTTTGGTGGTTCTAGGGTTCGAACTCATGGCCTTGTTCTTGCTAGGAAGGTGCTGTACCACTTGAGGCGTACCTCCAGTCGTTTTTGCTTTTAGTTTGAGAATAGGTGCTCACTTTTTTGCCTTAGTATCATGCGGTGCCGGAGGCCCCAGACTGAGGAGGCCCAGGAACGTCAAATAGTGCCCGTCTCTGCCCTCCAGAAGTTTGTGGTCAGGCTTCCAAGCAGACATTTTCCTCCTGGCCACCTCCTCCATCTAGAGGACCATTCTATCTGTCCCGCCAGGCTAGGTTACGGCCTCAGCACCCCAGGACAGGTGCTTTCCCCATCTTTCTCCTAACCCATTTCCAGCACGGGTCAGCTTCCAGTTCCCCTCCCTCCCGTCCCTGCTCTTCTCTAACAGGGTGACCCAACCTCAGCCCCTCCCGTCCACACCTTCCCATCCCGACCTCCTTCTGCCCCCCCCAGACTCACCCTCAAACCTCCACCTCGGGACTCCCCAATTATTCCTATTGGTTTCTCCTTCAGACTTCTTCCCTCCCTTGGAGGTGAACCGAATCGTTTCCTCCTCAAGGTAGCCCAGTGTCCGCAGAGGGTCTGAGATCTGCCTCCCCGGGAACCCCTTCCACCCTTCTCAAGTGCCCCCCCCCTCGAGTTGGGGCCCCGCATCTCCGCAGAGTCCCTCCAACCTGTCTCGGGCCTGGCGTGCGCCCCTCGTGCGCGCCCCCCGCCCCGCGCCTTC